GTTCTGTTGGCTCGATGGTCCCGGCAGGTCCTCGATGGTTCTCGCCGAGAAAACACGCACACGTCCGAGCGATGCCAAGCCTCTGCTGGGGTCCGACACCCTGTTCAGGGCGGGGGCGTACGAGCTCCCCGGCGCCTGCCTGGCCCGGAGCCTCCGGAGCCTCTGGAGCCTCCAGAGGAGCCCCAAGAGTGCTCCAGAGAGCCCAGACAGCGTGCCAAGAGACTCCAAAGTAGCGTCGAGACGGCCCATGGTGGCGTGGCCCCACGACGGTCAACGATGCCTTTGAGACGGTCCACGAAGCCCCCAAGACGGCCCAAGAGTGTCCCCAAAGGGCCGCCACGAGAACCCCAAGAAGCAAACATCGTCCCATTCCCGTGGGAATCGTACTTTTTTGCACGCTCGCCTTTTTCGCTTTGAAAGCGTCCAAGACGGGCCAAGGAGGCCCCAGGATCGTCCCAAGACGGCCCACGAGGCCCCTAATGAGCCCCAAGACGGCCTGTGAGGCCCCTAAGACGGCTCCAAGGGCCCCATCTAAACAGCCCAAGACAGCCCCAAGAGGGCCCTGAGAGGGGCCAAACAAGGATAGTAAGAACTGACACTCCGAGCCTTTCCCCCCAAGAGCGGCCCAGGAGTCGCCAAAGACGGCCTCAGAGCTTCAGTCTCAAGAGGGGCCGAAGAGGGGGAACTCGAACCTTCACGTCGAGCCCTCCGCCCCAAGATGAAGGGGCCCCAGGACACACAAATAAATACACACAATCAAAAGGATTCCCCATATTTTCCCATATTTTCTGAGTTTTTGTCTTCCCCCCACTACCCATATTTCCCCATATTTTCTGGGGTCGACGATTAATTGTGTCTGTGTGTTTTTTCCCCTCCTGAAACACGAGATCTGCCACGACAGAGGTGTGAAGGAGCCTCGGGCCTCAACCGCCAAATGCATTGTGAGCTGCCTGCGCTGCGTAATAGTGTGAACGCTACTGCGTTGCCGTTTGGTGGCCGTGATCACCCGGTGCTGCTATGAGCAATTGTTATGCGGTCCGTGAGCATGCGGTAAACAAGACTGCTGGAACTACTAACCCGTGGTGAGAAGCACTGCTGTGTTGGAGACGCTCGAATGCACCATATCGCCAGTAACAGCATTGCCAGAGCAAGACGGACGCGAACAGCGCAACGTGTTCCAAGCGACCCTGTCAATGACGATGCTGCTCGGACCAAAACCTGCCTTGCGCAGAACGACCATTAGAGTTCGAGCACCGATCGGGCCCTCCGTTTTTCCCCCAACTGAGCTTGCACCCAAGGGCTCCCCCTCCTCTTCCTGCAGGAACTGGGTGGCTCCGCCGAGGCTTCCCTCGGTGCCTGGTCGCTGGGCGCCCGTGGGCGCCTCGTGGGCGCCTCGTGCTGGGCGGGTCGGCCGAGGCGTCGCCGAGGCTTCGCGGAGGCTTCGCCCGGTGTCCCCACGGGAGCGCCTCGTGGGCGCCTCTCCTGCGCTGGGCGGCCGTAGCCTCGCCCGGTGACCGCCGCGCGGGCGCCCCGCACTGCGCTGGAGGGCGGGCGCGCCGAGGCTCCGCCCGGTGTGACCGCCTCGTGGACGCCTCGCGGACGCCATCGTGCGCCGGGCGGTCGCATACCCCTTGGAGGCCAGGGAATTGGCACCAACACCAACACAGGGGGTTGCCTCCACAGGGGGGAAGATGATCCTAGATTTCGGTGTTGGTGGGAAGCCAGCATATTACCACCATCACCGAAATCGGGATCTTTCTTCCCGCGGTGGAGGAACACCGCCGATATTGGTGTTGGTGTCAATCTCTAGGCCTGCGATACCCAGACCCCTTGGCGCTGTGCAAAAATCCCGACGGGAGGCTTTTCGCTATTTTCGACCTCCAGGGGCCCTCGCCGGGCCTCAGGGGCCGCCAAGAAACGACACAGGATGGAAAGCCGGTCCTGGAGAAGGGGTCCAGACCCCTGGGGGTCGACGTTGTGAAAAAATCACGATGCCCGGGGTCTGGGTATGTTGCAATAAAGATATGTTTTACCACGTAGCTTGAAACACAGAGCTGGCAACACGCAGCTTGTACCACAAAAGCTTACACCGCGCAGCCTTCAACACAAATCTTGCACTGCCGCATCTTGTGTTGTTGTTTCCCCCCGTCGGAATGCCTTGCTCAGATGTTCCTTATCCGTTCAGGTAAACCGCTACATCGGCAGAGCTACGATTGTGGATGCCACGACAATGGACACCTTAATAGTCCTATCATCGAGTTCAACATATGTTTAAAATGTCGGAAAATGTCCTGGAAAGGTTTTAATCATGTTTATTTTTGTTGTAAGCATGTTTAAAACAGTTTTAACACATGTTCTAGACATCTGGAATTTATTGGGAAACATGTTCCCTCCACAAAACTACGAGAGCTTCCCAATGAAGACGCCGATGACGCCGATGATTTCAAGCACGTCGCAGTCGGCCTAGCATACCCGTGCGGCCATCGTGCCTCACCGCAGCGCGGGTGGCACCGCAGCGCGAAGAGCAGGGCCGCCAAGCAGCTCAGGAGCTCGAAGCCGAACGAGTCGGGCTACAAAAGGCGAGCTCTTGAGGCGAGCCGTGGCCTGGGAGACAGGGCGAGGCGTGCAGTGTCCATGGGTATGGACCCCTTGAAGCATAGTCGGCCAGCTAAGCCAAGCCACATGCGGGAGCGTGAGGGAAAGGCCGAGGGAGGAGGAGGAGGAGGAGGAGGAGGAGGGAGACACAGAGACTCAAGGTCTCAGAGCCGGGCAGAGGAGCGAAAAGATCTGCCATAGCCCCGAAGGCCCCAGAATCGGGCAGCGGAGCGAAAAGATCTGCGACAGCCCCGCACTCGGGCAGAAGAAGGGGGAAAGAGACAGAGAGGGAGAGAGGATTGCGGCCCATTCGAAGCCGCCCGCGGACAGATGACCCGACGACCTGCCATTGCTCGGACGTCCATTCCCCGTGCATGCATCGGTTCCGTGCGCTTTTTTTTGTCTCGCAAGACCACCCATCATGCTCCTCGATGGCCCCCACCGAGCACACGTGCACACTTCCGAGCGATGCCAGGGCGATCCGGCAAACTCCGAAGTCCCCAGGGCGATCCGGCAAACTCCGAAGACCCCACCAGACCGTCCTGGGGACCCCCGAGAGGCCCGAGGCGCTCGAGGCACCCTCGGAGGCGCCGCCCGGGCCGCAGAAAAGAAATCGCCCGCCCACTCCGAGCCACCCCCTCCTCCTCCTCCTCCTCCTCCTCCTCCTCCTCCTCCTCCTCCTCCTCCTCCTCCTCCTCCTCCTCCTCCCCCCCCCCCGCTCGCGTTCCCATCCCTCGTGCCTCGCGCCGCTGAGGTCACGGAACGGTTTGGGCACCGGGCAGTCTTGGGACATCGAGCTCGGATGTCGCACGAGGGTCTGGTGACCAAACCGTCCTGTGGGTCCCGTCGCCTTCCCGCGTGGCCCTGGCCCGTCCTCGTTATACCCTGGCCCGAGCGAGAGAGAGAGAGAGAGAGAGACAGACGGGAAGAGGAGGGGCCAAAGTTCGGCGGTGGAGAAACCTCCCTTTAGTAGACCTCCCTTCAGTGAATACGGCCTAGGACCGACACCGACGGTCCTGGACCCGCAAAAACGACGGCCGCGACGCCCTCTCGCGAACCGACAACGGCCCATTCGCTAATCGACGTGTCAGGGTAGGAGGTCTATCAACCTCCGAAGGGTAACGAGGGAGAACTGGGCCACCCGACTCGGCGCACCCGCGCCCCGCGCGTGCGCGGCCATCTTCGCGCCCTCTCGCCGCCGCCCGGGAGAGGGGCGCCTCTCCGGCGCAGCTCGCGCGATGGGCTTCTCGCCTCCACGGGCGGCCTGGGGCAGCAGAGAGACGGGAAGAGGACGGGCCAGGGTACAGTCAAAAACCCTAATAAGGACGCGCGGTACAGTCATCGGCCTGACCTAAGGAACGATAAATAAGGAACGAAGCCCCTTTTTATCCCAAGGAATAACGCATAAGGAACGATAAAAAAACAAATAACGCACGAGGAACTGTAAATAACGCATGCAAACCTAAGGAACGACCGAGCCCCTTTTGAAAAGTAAGAGTTCCTTATTCAAGCCGCTCACTGTAAGGACGCAAGACCCTTGGAAGCCGAAGTTGGGATTTTCGGGGCGGCGGACGACGAAAACCCCAGGGACGCAAGAGCAAGGAAGAGCAAGGACGCAAGGGCACCCTGAGCAAAGTCGCGCGTCCTTACTGCGGTTTTTGACTGTAAGCAGAAGGCAGAACATCCACCCCCGGAATGCTCACCCCGACACGCGAAGCCGTTCAGCAGCCGCACCCACAGAGGGAATCGAACAGGGCAGGGCTGCCTGGCAAACGCCCAGGGCCGTTCAGCAAACGCCCACTGTCGGGTCCGGGTGGTTTCCTCCCTGTGAGCAAGGAGGGAGAGCGACAAGCCACGCGCAAGAGCAGGAGACGCATCGGCTGCTCGACGTCGAGGGCAGCAGCTGCAACGGCGGTACAGTAGGAGCTCGACCACAGACAAACCTTCGACGAGAGACCCAACCCCAAGACCCCAGGACGTCCATCGATTTTTGTGGTGGCAAGGTCACGGTTTTCACAGCAAGACCGTCGAAACCCAAGAAACTCGGGGCACCCTGGAGGCAAGCAAGGTGTTTCTTGGCGTGGGTCTACACTGTCGTTTCACGGAGCGCACAATACATCTCGATTGCGTGTCCTGACAGTTCTCAGACCTCAGGGCGCCAGGACGCGTCCTGCCGGCACCCGCCAAACAAGTGAACCGTCGTCGCCATGTTGTCAGTCGCGGCTTCGCGATCCTCTTGTTGAACGTCCCCAGATCTCGTCGAACTGCATTTACGGTCGGACCTAGGACATAAAAAAAACATCCTTTAAGAACATGAGACCCTCCGCCGGCCAAAACACCCCCAAACTATAAGATCGCTCGCGCGTGCCTCGCCCAAGATGCAAAAGAACATCCAACGAACACGGAGAACACTAAGGTACCCTCCCCGAACCAACCTCGATGTTATACCCCGGTCCGAGTGTAATCATCATAAGGTCCATACATATGTCAATACACCCCTGCCCCTCCTCTTCCTCATGCTCCTCCCTGCTCCCCCTGCTCCCTTCAAGCCTCCTCCTCCTCCTCCTCCTCCTCCCCCTCCTCCTCCTCCTCCTCCTCCTCCTCCGCCTCCCCCTCCCCCCCCCTCCCCCTCCCCATCCTCTCCCTCCCCCTCCTCGTCCTCCTCCTCCTCCTCCTCCACCTCCTCCTCCCCTCCTCCTCCTCCTCCTCCTCCTCCTCCTCCTCCTCCTCCTCCTCCTCCTCCTCTCCTCATCCTCACCCCCCTCCTTCTTATCATATTCCTCCTCCTCCTCCTCCTCCTCTTCCTCCTCCTCTCCTCCTCCTCCTCCTCTCCTCCTCCTCCTCCTCCTCCTCCTCCTCCTCCCATCCTCCTCCTCCTCCCTCCTCCTCCTCCATCCTCCTCCATCCTCCCTCCATCTCTCCCATTCCCCTCCCCCTCCTCCTCTCCTCCTCCTCCCATCCTCCTCCTATCCTCCTCCCATCCTCCTCCCATCCTCCTCCCATCCTCCTCCCAAACTCCTCCCATCCTCCTCCCATCCTCCTCTCCTCCTCCTCCTCCTCCTCCTCCTCCTCCTCCTTTGCTCCGTCATCGCTGCTTCTACATCCCCCGCTTCCTTCTCGCAGAGGCGGGGTCGGGGGCATCCAAAAGGGGGGGAGGGGGGCAAATCATGGCCGGCGGCGTGTGCGCGGCCCAGGGGGGGCGCTGGGGACGCGTTGAAATTGGAAGCTGCGACATGCAATCTGGAAAGGTATCATGGCCACGGCCACTCTTAGGTCGGGCATGTCCTCCTACAGGCGGATTGTGGGAGAAAGATAAGAAAGAGACAAACACATTCAAGCATAGTCCCAAACTGATAATAATCGAAACATAGCCACCATGGTTTTGACAATATGTTTGCATATTCCTCCTGTAGAGGGACATGCCCGACTTAACCTCAGCCACCACCCTCCTCTTGGCCGCTCCCGAGGGGGGCGGGCGCGACCGCCGCGAGAGCCGCGGGCCCAGCATTGGCGTGGGCGCTGGACGCGCAGCCCATGGCGCGGGGGCGCGCGAGGGAGCGGCGCGACGGGGCGGTGGCACGGCGCCCGCTGCATCGCCAGCGTGGAGGAGGGGGGGGGAGGGGGGGGGAGGGGAGAGGACGGAGGAGAGAGGAGGAGGAAGGAGGGAGAGAGGGCAGAGGAGAGAGGAGAGGGACAGGGAGCGGGGAGGACAGGAGAGAGAGAGAGAGGAGAGAGAGGAGACAGGAAGGACAGAGGAGAGAGGAGGGAGGGAGGAGGGAGTAGGGGGGGGGAGCAGGGAGGATCGAGGAGAGGAGGAGGAGGAGGGAGGGAGGAATGGATGGGAACATAGATCTTCAACAATGCGTTGGGCCTCGAGGACGCTGCCGACCACCCAGGTGATCGCACATGGGTCAGCTGATCACAGACGCTGCGGTGGAGCCAGCGTGGAGGAGGGGAGGGGAGGGGAGGGGAGGGGAGGGAGGGAGGGAGGGGAGGGGAGGGGAGGGGAGGGGAGGAGGGAGGGGAGGGGACTTGGAGGGGAGGGGAGGGGGAACCCCTGGCACTCCCTCGAGGGGGAGCCCCTCGCTCGCCGCGCTGGGCGCGCCGCAGGATGCACGAATCGTCCGAGCTGCAGACCTCAGGGATGTCGACCTCTGCGGCTTGCGGGCCCTCTCGCTCGGAGCTAGAACTCACCACCGAGGACGTGCCAGCGAAGCCATGCGGGGGGGGGAGAGAACGGCGGGCAGAGGATAATGGAGGAGGGAGGGAGAAGATGGAGAGGGGAGGGGGATAGTCCAGGTATACAGAAGGAGGGACGAGGGAGAAGGCAAGACAGCGAGGGAGAGCATACGTCGAGGTGGACGAGGCTCGGGAGCACCAATGAAGTTAGTATCAGAGCCTGCCTCCGAGTCTGGTGGAGTTCACGTTGGGGGCCAGAGCTTGCCTGGTCTGCGTCCTGACTCCGAGCAAGTGTGATTAAGGATCAGAGTCTAGGTCTAGGTCTGAATCAGTGTGGGGCGGAGCCCTGGTTCGAAACCGATTCTAGGGTGTCAGGGTCTCGATCTGAACATTGGACTGACCATGGTGTTCTCGAATAGGAATACACGCGCTCGAAGAAACAACATCCACCTAAACTCTACGGAGCCGTTCCTGCACGCAACAAGCAAGTCCTTGTCTGGGGGGTCTGGGCACCACGAGGCGCATCCGAAACCCTAGCCCCACACGCCACGAAGACGTTTTGATGGAGAAAGCTTGAAATTCCCGCTGGTAGCGCACCGTCGTCACCATCCCCATCCTCGTCCTCATCCTCCTCCTCCCTCCTTCTCCTCCTCTTCCTCAGCATCCTCATCACCATCACTATCAACATCATCATCCTCATCATCATCAGCATCACCAGCATCATCATCATCATCATCAGCAGCAGCAGCAGCAGCAACATCATCATCATGCATCATCATCATTGTCCTCGTCCTCGTTCTCGGCCTCATCATCATCCTAACCTGCATCCTCACCCTCGTCCTCATCCATCAGTAACGTCGTCATCACCCAACAGCAGCACCTGCATCCTCCGCATCATCACGATCACCGTGACCATTATCAGCATCATCATCAACAACATCATGATCATGATCATGATTATGACCACTATCGGCATCGTCACAATAATCATCATCATCAACAGCAGCATCATCATCACCATCATCATCATCATCATCATCAGCATCAGCATCGTCATCATCAACGTCAACATCATCCTCTTCATCCATTCCTCAACATCCCGATCACTATCGCCATCGGAACATCATCGAGGTGCGACTTATCAGCATTGACCTATTCGTCATCATACCCATCGTCATCATCATCAGCATCATCATCATCATCATCGTCCCCCTCATCATCCACATCATCCTCGTAAGCCTCAACATCCGCATCCCCCCTCATCCTCGTCCTCCACATCCTCATCATCCGCATCACCATCGTCCACCTGATCATACTCAACATCATCATCACCATTACCGTCATCACCAGCATGATCATCCTCGTCCTCATCCTCCTCCTCCTCCTCATCATCATCATCTCACAATCAGCATGCTCCTCGGCATAATCAGTCTCATCCTTAGCCCCATCCTCGTCCTCATCCTGATCATCCTCATCATCCTCATCATCCTCATCCTCATCAGCAGCATCGTCATCACCAGCATTGTCATCCTCATCATGATCATCCTCATCCTGATCCCCATCCTCATCCGCATCATCCTCGTCCTCCTCATCATCCTCATCATCCTCCTCATCATCATCCTCATCATCATGCTCATCAACATCATCCTCAACAGCGTCATCATCATCATCATCATCATCATCATCATCATCATCGTCATCATCGTCATCGTCCTCATCAAGCTCATCATCACCCTCACCACCCTCATAATCACCACCACCGCCACCGCCATGATCATCATCAACATCATCATCATCATCGTCCACCTCATCATGACCATTTTAACCAGAATCGTACTCATAATCCTCATCACCATCATCACCACATAAACATGATCATCATCCTCGTCCTCATCCTCACCATCATCATCACCAACACCAACATCCGCAACATAATCGCCATCATCATCCGCATCATCACTCTCGTCCTTCGCCTCATGCTCCCCCTCTGCCTCCTAATCATCATCATCAGCATCATCATCACCACCATTGTCATCATCATCATCATCATCATCATCATCATCATCATCATCATCATCCTCATCCGCATCATCATCAGCATTCTCCACCTCCTCCTTCATCATCTCTAACATCCTCGTCCTCGTCCTCATGTTTGGCCGTCTCATCCTCATCCCCATCCTCACTTTTAGCGCCCCCTCACCAGAATCTTAGCTAACACTTCCATCCTTAACCTCATCGTCATCGTCATCATCACGATCAGCATCACCATCATCACCACCATAATCGTCATCATCACCATCATCAGCAGCATTATCATTATCACCAATATTCATCATCATCAACCTCAGTATCATCATCATCACCCGCATCCTCATGGTCATTACCCTCATCATCGTCATCAGCCTCCACCTCCTCCTCCTCCGCCTCCTCCTCCTCATTGCCATCATCAGCATCATCATCACCTGTATCATCGCGAGTCGCATCCTTATCCTCATCATGGTCATCGTCATCATCATCATCAGCATCATCATCATCATCGTCGTCATCACCATCATCACCACCAACACCATCACCACCATCATCATCATCATAATCAACATCAACATCATCATCATCTGCTTCATCATCACCCGTACCCTCGTCATCATCATCGTCCTCATCCTCCTCGTCCACATCATCATTATCATCATCATCAACGCCAACATCATCAAAATCCGCTTCATCATCATCAGACTGATCATCATGATCCTCATCATCATAATCATCAACATACTCATCCGTTTCATCATCACCTTCGTCGTCGCCATCATCATCACCCATCTCATCATCCGTATCGTCCCCATCATAATCATCATCATCATCATCAATATCAGTATCCGTCTCATCCGCCAACTTCGGGGCATCATCACCTTTATCAGCCTCATCATCATCCGTATCATCATCGTCATCTTCAGCTTCGTCCCACCCCTCATTATCATCACCAGCACCATCATGATCATCATCCTCCTAATCATCACGATCGTCATCATCATGATCCGCTTCAGGATCAGCATCCTTCTATTCAGTCTCCTCTTCATCGACCTTATCCTCACCATCATCATCATCATCATCATCATCCTGATCATCATCATCATCAGCAGCATCATCATTCGCACCCTCATCCTCATCGTCATCACGATCCTCAGCCTCAGTCTCATCTTCATCACCATCACCCTCCTCATCATCATCTTCACCATCGTCACTGTCACCGCAACATCCTCCTCATGATCATCCTCAACATCAACATCACCGCATCCTTATCATCATCCGCATCCCCATTATCATCCGCATACCAATCATAATATGTATCATCAGCATCATCATGAGCATCGCCATCAGCTTCATCCTCATCTTCGTTGTCTTCGCCATCAATATCATCAGCAGCATCCTCATCACTGTTATGATCAGCATCAGCCTCATCATCACCACATCCTTATCTTCACAATCCCCATACTCATCCTCATTACAATCCTAATCAGCATCATCAACTTCATCATACACCTCGACTCATCGTCATCCTCCTCTTCATCATCACTTTCGTCATCCTCATCATCATGATCACCATCATCATCGTCATGATCAACACCATCATCCTCATCATCACCATCACCATCACCATCTTCATCATCCATATCAACATCACCGCCATTATCCTCCTACTCTTCATCCTCCTTCTCGTCCTCATCAACACCGTTATCAACATCATCACCATCATTAACGGCCTCATCATCAGCACCAGCATCATCATCGTCATCCTTATCCTCATCCTCAACATCAACGTCCTCATCACAATCATCATCCTCATCCGTATCGTCATCTTCTTCATCACCATCATCATCCTCATCCTTCGCATCAACATCGTCATCGTCAACCTCACTATCCTCACTCTCATCCGTGACATCACCATCATCATCATCACCACCACCATCAGCATCATCACCATCACCGTCATCAGCATCATCATCGTCCTAATCAGCATCCGCATCCTCATCAGTATCACCAGTAGCATCACCCTGATCATGATCATAATTACCATGATCAGCACCCTCAGCATCAGCATCATCATCCACATCGCCACACTCTGTCTCCTCCTCCTTCGCATCATCATTACGATCATCATCACTATCGGCATCATCGTCCTCTTCACCACCCTCATCCTCATCAGCATCACCTGCAGCATCGTCATCATTCTTGTCATCGCCTCATCCTCATCCTCATCATTAGCATCAGCAGCATCATCATCATCACCATCATCATGATCATCATCATCATCCTGAGTCTCGTCCTCCTCCTCATCATCAGCATCTTCATCATCATCATCATCATCATCATCATCCTCACCCTCCTCCTCATCCTGGTCAGCATCCTAATGCATCATTACAAGCACCGTCCTCATCCGCACCATCATCCTCGTCATCAACATCATCATCCTCGTCCGCCCCATCATCATTATCATGCGAATCACCACAATCATCATCATCCGCATCCTCATCCTCATCATCATCACCGTCACCCTCATCATCACCATCACCACCATCACCATCAACATGATCACCCTCACCACCATCCTCATCGCATGCACCACCCTTATCATCATCAGCATCATCATCACCATTTACATCATGTTTTTTTTTTGGACCCAAAGGGCTCAGGAGGCTCCAGGGGGTCCCAGTTGAAGGCGGTCGACACCTTGGTCGAGCAGTCCACGGATATCGTTGGCGAGGGGGGGGGGGGGCACTGTCCGTGAGGAGCGTCTGCCTGCCGAACGGCAGGCAGGGCGCGAGACAGCCGCGTTCCCCCACGCGGCCCCCCCCCCCCACGCCATCTGTCGGAGCCCAGGCGCGGGAGTCGCACCAGGCCTCTGGAAAGAAGAAGGCACTATCGAGCGCCCACATCATCAGCAGAGACGAGTCCAGGGCCCCACCCCAGACACTGAGAGATGCTCAGACTAGGCTCCTGGGGGGGGCCTCGAAAAGCAAACGTACCCGTCTCTCAACACGCCAGGCTTCAGCAACAGGCCTATGCCTGCGCGCCCTGGCCCGCATGCGGGCATGTATCTGCTGAGACACACTGCCAGAAGAGACAAGGTGCCGACGACAGTTGTGAGCAAACATAAACGCGTCAATTATAGCAGCCGATAGGAGTAGCACCGCGCGAGGACGCAGAGACGTGGGAAGCAGAGCAGACAGCCAAGGAGGGGATTCCGAGAAGGGGGGCATCAGTTCTCCGAGCCAATGTTCACATATCCAATAGAATCGGGAGCATCTCGCATAATGGGCAATATCATCAAGGTCAGAGAGAGTAGGGTCGAAGGAATCAGCACAGCATCCAAACAGGCAACCATGCGACTGGGTGTGGAATCTGGCCGACGCGTTCAAACCTCGAGCAAGCACACGGAGAAACGTCAGGCCCATGTAGGGCCCAGTCTTCTTGACAACAAACTTCACAGCTTTCGAAACTTGTATCGCGGCATCCTCGGGAACCCCATTCAACCACCTCCTCATCCTGATCATCAAGTCCTGCTTCGCATCATGTGCAAATTCAGGCGATGCAGCAATCAAGCGGTAGACGGCTGCCTGGAAGCTCTTGCCCTCGACAGGTATTCCCGCGGGCGAGCAGGACAAGGTACCACGAACACTTCTGAATGTCGCAAGCAGAGCAGGAGCGAAGCTAAAACTAGCCCAACCAGGCATAGATCTGATAATACATGCATCATCGGAAGCAAAGGTCTTTGCCAGATCCTCAAGAATCTCAAGAATCTCCGAGCACTTCGAGACCAGTCGGAACTTCGTAGCCCGAGACACCGCCTCCAAGTTTTTGAACTGACCAGGGAACCCCAGAGAGGTCATATTCGTCAGCATCTCGTAGTTGAAACTAAAGCGCGGCCCCACCACTAAGAGCTGCAAGGCATTCTTATACGCTGCAATCACCGGCCTAGAGAGAGGTGCAAACTGCATGACAAAGGATAGTAGGCTAAGACATAGAGTGTTGAAAGTCGGGATGTTCTTCGCAAGAGTTAGACCAGCCTGACGCACCTCTCCCACCCGCGGAGCGAACTTCGCCACCGGTTTCGACCAGTAGCATTCGTGGGCAGAGACACCAATCATCATGCCAAGGTACTTACACGAGCGCACAACCTGAATCTGAGACAGCTCAGGGCACTGCTCTAGGATATACTGCTGCAGCCTAGCCTGGAACACAGTCGACTGGACCAGCACAAGACACTTGCGTAGGTTCAACGCCAGCCCCACTGCCGACTCCAATGCCATGATAACACGGAATAGGTGCCGCAGGTGTCGAAGGGTGTCACGAATGCCATACAAACAGTCATCAGCATATTCAAGCTTGAGGTGCATACACTGCCAGCAGCATTTACTTATATATACCTGAAGCGGAGCCGTGCCCAAGCAGAAGAGAACCATAGATGCGGGATCCCCTTGACGCACACCTCTAGATATATCAATCGACGCGTACACTTTGCCCAGGACCGAGATCAGAGCAGTGTTGTCAGTGTAGAACAACCGATACAACTGGACGATAAAGCTCGGGATCCCCATCGCCTCTAACACGGCCAAGAACCGTTCAATCGAGAGAGAGGGGAAGGCGGCAGAGTAGTCCGTCAGGACCATCGAGCTATCATCATGGTCGAGCACACGTTCAGAAAGTGTCCAAGCTTCAGCACGGACAATATGCGCAGCCATGCTGCGACCATAGACACAAGCCTGCGAAAGGGAAATAGTCTGCTGAGCAACTTCATTCAGCGGTCTGCACATGCATGAACTCAAAATCTTGGCATCAGTATTGGCCATGGAAAGTGGACGAGTGTTTTCAGCAGTCCTGAAAACATTTGGCCCCACATCGTCTCTCGAGTTCCCCTTCGGCAGAAAAACCATCAGAACTTCCAACATATCCCGAGGCAGAGCAGAGACCTGACCAGAAACCAAGTCCCGATAGAAATCAACCAGAAAACGAGGGGGCATCTCCAAGGCGCCAGCAGAAATAAGGAATCCCATCAGGCCCAGGCATACTGCGCTTACGAGTCTTAATAATGTCCCCGAAGAACACCTCATAGTCCACTTCCCAAGACACATTCGCTCCTAGAGGCACCTGTCGGACAAAAGACAGTAACTCAGGCCACCGTGAGCGGTCTTCCTGCTGTTCGCAGAAGACTTCACCCCAGTGAAGCCGCAGGGCCTCAGCAGAGGCCTCTGGGGAGGGGTAAGGGTTGTTATTTTCGTCAACCACTCCTTGGAGCCAGGTTCGGCGACGAAACTGCTGCCAGAACGTGCGACGACGAGCGATATTCCTCTCCTCCTTCTGTCTCTGGAAGTCATCCGCGGGCAGGTTCTCAATCTCTAAGGTTTCAGCATCTAGCATCTTCATGTACAGCCCACGCACATGTTGGCAGAGTGGGAACAGGTCAGCACATTCAAGAGTAGTGCCATCAATAAAATCAGTAAGCTTGGGATAACAATCCAATGCATTATCAATCATCTTCATATTCTGGAGACGGAGGCCACGAAGAGCAGCCATGGACCAATGATGACACTCCTCATAGGTGCAGGCAACTCGATGCTTTATTCGTCGACGAGCACGCGCCGCGGCCGAGTGCATACATTCTTTGGTCCAAGCAAGACGCACAGCGCTCCCATCATCCGCGGGTGGAGAACTCAAGAGCCTATCCAGCTCATCAGCAAATTCAGGCGACTTCGCAAGCCGCAGCGGGGTATTTTTTGCACTCAGACTTGTCAGGGGTGTACATCGAGATATGCGAAACGACGGGGATGTGATCCGAAGGCATGTCGATTTTGAGACGGCCTACCGTTGACGTCGTGATCGTCATATCTGCAAGAATGGCACTGGGCAGCGAGCAATAGATGCGGTCTAGCCGCGCTGCGTGGTCAATCACGCTATCCACCAGAGCCCTCCGAGTGTCCATTTCCTGGTAAAATTCCATGAGGTCGGGGAGGATGTTGTTGAACGCCTGAGCATGGCTGCGGTCCCCTGGGCTCCACAAACCACCATAAGCATGTTGACGGCCCTCACCTTCCAGATTAAAATTCCAGCCCCCCAGTAGAATAGTAAAGTGCTCAGCAGAAAGCGGAACCTCACGGCGGAGAACGCGGAGCACATATATATATATATATATATATATATATATATATTTATATATATATACCCGAATACTATCAGACGTGTTGGGCATGTGAACGTTAACAATGCTACACTGGCCGTGAGGGCCCTTCATCCCAGTCAGAAGCACTCTGCCGTCGATCAGTGACCGATGGACAATCGAGGAAAAGTTACGCGCGAACACTTTACTGATAGCCGTAATTACGCCACCAGTGCCTGCACTGTCAGGAAAGAAAGGGTAGCCAAACTGGTGAGAGGGAAGTTGAAGAGAGATATGATCAATATCACCTGGGTGACCATGGGTCCCTTGGGTAACAACAATATCGTGGGAGTGACAAGGACGTTCAAACATGGACATCTTCTTCTGAGCACGATCCTGACGCAACGACTGCATAGACATGATCATACCACCGGCGTTCCAAGAACAGATGGAGAAAAAGGAGGGAGGGCAGAACGGAAAGTTAAAATCATGGGCCGACGACTCGCACGGTGCTGGCTGCATTGTACAAACAGAGGCTGCAGACACAAGGTTCGAAAAAAAAAACAACAGGCATGGCAGGCTCATAACACTCAGCTGAATCGCGTGCATCCCCATTGATGTCGCTCCCTATGTTCAGCAGAGGCGGAACCTGGTCTGTCCTGGTCGTTGGTGTCCGCCATACCCCATCCTACAGGTACGGTTTGTTCTTAACGGCAATGTCGATGATGAGATCAATCTCTGCATCGGTGAACTTCCACTGATACAACTCATCACGGTTGGGAACGATGACGAACTGGCCCTCCTCTGTCTTCAAAGTGAACAGGGTCCACGAGTCCGCATCCGTCGAAATCTGAAAACGACCAGAGCCAAAGCCAGAGCAGCCCATCCTCAGCAAGCCGTTCCAGAGGCCCTTGTTCGTCAGCTTTACCCTCATCGGCTCCCATAGGCACGAGAGTGCACTCTTCCTCAGCCGAGCAGGGAGAGGGATGCCACCTCGAACTCGAATGGGGAACGTCGTTGCTCTATCACGATAGTCATTCCATTGCGACGGGGACGTGAAAGCCCACTGCTTGAACCGATTCGCAGCCTCCTCCGTCTCAAAGGCCACCGAGTAAGAACGGCTCGTACGCTGGAGCGATGGCTGTGTATTAGTGATCATGACCTGGGGCACCTGAGTCTTATACCACCCCCAGTGCTCCTTCCGATATTGTGAAAGGACCTCACGTGGCCATCCTCCAATCCAAATCTCACAAGGGTTGCGCATGTCTTTCTCATTGTTTTGAAGCGCGTCAGTGAACATCTCAGGCATGGGTCCTGTCGCAGGGCGCTTGCGCCTGGAAGTGCCCCCGCTGTCCGAACTCGCAGCCGTCGATGGTGTACGTGAAATCGCCGAAATTATTGATAACTGCTCTTGGATGTTCTCAAACTTAGCTTCCATCTTCTTCTCAACTTCATCAAGCGCCTGGCGACCTGCCGAACCCTCAGGGCAGTCATGCCAGCCATTGCCGTCGTCAACCACAATCGCTGAGCCCGTGATCTGCTGGAAGCGTGCCTCCCAGCTGGCTGACATGGATGTCACCATCGTTTGCATCTCCTGCACCGTCGATACTTGCTGCGCTTGAAGTCCCTGGATCTGAATCGCCAAGGCGTCGGTCCTGTCATTAGCCGCTCCTATCGCTGTGAGCAACTCACTCTTCATCGAACCAAGTGCAGCCAGGACCTCTGAGCTCGACATCACGGCCGAGGACGAAACAGGAGTAATTCGTGGAATGATTCCTGGAACCAGAAAGAAAGTGTGAGGACTACCCTCGGGACGCTCGGGCCAACCCCTTGGCTGCGTCCAAGTTCGAAGCGCCAGGGCAACGTTTCGAACTTGAGCCAAAATGGCTACGGATCACCATTTACATCATGTTCATCATCATCATCATCATTCAGATCCTCATCCTCATCAGCCTCATCATCCTCAACATCATCATTCCCATCACCATCATCATCACCCTCACCATCATCATCCTCGTCCCCATCCTCCTCATCATCATCACCAGCATCACCGTCATCAGCACCATCACCATCCTTATCGTCATCATCATCATGATCACCATCACCATCACAATTCTTATCATCATCATCCGCATCATCATCATCATTAGCATCATCACCATCATCGTCACCATCAACATTAGCATCACCATCACTATCATTATCCCCATCCAGATCCTCATCCTCATCCTCATCATCACCATCATCATTATCCACCCCTGTCTTGTCCTCCTCCTCCTCCTCCTCCTCCTCCACCACCTCATCATCATCTGCATGATCATCATCGTCATCATCATCATCATCCTCATCCTCACCCTCATCCTTTTCCTGATCAGCAACCTCTTCCGCATCATCACAAGCATCGTCCTCATCCGCATCATCACCCTCGTCGTCAACATCCTCATCCTTGTCCGCCTCATCATCATTAGCATGCTCATCACCACCATCATCATCATCCTCCCCATGATCATCACAACCATCCTCATCATCATCACCACCATCAATATCACCCTCACCATCACAATCACCATCCTTATCATCATCACCATCACCATTATCATCCGCATTATCCAGATCCTCATCCTCATCCTGATCAGCATCATCATCCTCATCCTCATCATCCTCATCATCATGATCATCGTCATCATCACCCTCAGCCTGCTCACCTTCCACCTCCTCATCATCAACATCGCCATCATCATTCATCATCCTCACAATCAGTATCACCAACGTCATCATCATCAACATCAACATGCTCGTCATCATTATCTTCACCAGCATCATCCTTATCACCATCACCATCACAACCCTCAGCAGTAGCATCATCATCATCGTCATCATCATCATCATCCTGTTCATCCTTCTCATAATTCTCCGCCAGCTCATCATCCTCATTATCATCCTCATCATCAGCAGCATCTTTACCATCACCTTCATCATCCTTTATCTTCATCCGCAGCCTCATCCCCATCATCATCCTCATCGTCACATACATCATCATGACCATCATCATCAGCATCCTCGTCATCACCGTCCTCATCCTCGTGATCATTATCCTCATCCTCATCCTCCCCATCCTCTGCATTACCATCCTCCTCCTCATCCTCCTCATCACCACCGCCATCACCATTATCATCCACGTCCTCATCCTCATCCACGTCCTCAGTATCCTCATCCTGATCCGCATCGTCATCATTATCATGGGGCTGCGAGCCTGGCGAGATACAAAACACTGAGCCCTGGCGAGCCTGTTCTATTTTCCTGGCGAGGCGCCTGCGGAAATCTGTCTTCGAGAACAATGCTTCGTCATCGCGATGAGACTGCAAGCGAGAGGCCGAGCAAAAACTGTGACGCACAGCGAGCCTCCGCTCGAAGGATGTCCCTGCTGCATAAGACATTGAAAGGGCGGCCGCGGGTGGGGGCCAAAAAGACTGCGGAACGGAGCGAAAAGCAAAGGCTGAACAAGCGTGGACGGCGACTAGCTGCTCTCTCTCTCTCTCTCTCTCTCTCTCTCTCTCTCTCTCTCTCTCTCTCTCTCTCTCTCTCTCTCTCTCTCTCTCTCTCTCTCTCTCTCCCCCCCCATGCCTGCGCGCGCACTCCTATGGGGCTGCGAGCCTGGCGAGATGCAAAACACTGAGCCCTGGCGAGCCTGTTCTATTTTCCTGGCGAGGCGCCTGCGGAAATCTGTCTTCGAGAACAATGCTTAGTCATCGCGATGAGACTGCAAGCGAGAGGCCGAGGAAAAACTGTGACGCACAGCGAGCCTCCGCCCGAAAGATGTCCCAACCCATCCCGAAACAGCAGTGGATGTGACTCAGGCTTGAAAAAATCTGGCTCGCAGAGGGGCCACAAGAGCACGGGCTAGCGCACGATTGAGCTGCTGTGGATACGACTGAGCTATCTGCGTCCACCGTTGGCCACTCGGAGCAGGGCCTGACATAATAACGTGCTTGCATCCCGTTCGGCTACAAACGCCGCTGGTGCCCTTGCACAGCCGCGAAAGCCCCTCGAGATCCTGGGCGGGAATGTTTCCGCACAACAAATTGGTGGGCTTTTTCAAGGGAGTGCCGAACTGACAAAAATCTATCCTCAAAAGCGTCACCGAGGGGGAGGAGGCCAGGCGCTGGAACTCACGGGTTTTAAACATATAGCTAGCGCAAGGGTTCTCGAGAATCCACGGGGCACCAACGGCGTTACACTCGCGAATTATTGCAAGAGAAGCTCTACAACACTTGTTACCCTCCTTGAGTTTCATCCAGTCCTTTAAACTGACCTCCTTCCTTGAACCCCCCCACGGTCGAGACGCAGATCGGATGGGCGCTGTGCGAATGCGTGCAATACTAAAACTGCTGCGTGGCGGCGCAATCATCGCCCCGAGACACCGACCTCGTCGAACGTCTGAGAGGAGCGCCCTTAAAACGCGGGCGGAAGTGAGGTCGCCGTGCTCTCCATGCGCGATCTCCCAGGTCCGTGCCTGGAAGCCGAGCCGTCGCAAGGCTCTGGCGACTCCGCCCTGGCCAGCGAAGGTGTCTGCAACGTAAGTGTCCTGCATCAGCTGCGCTCCGAACATGGGAGGGGCACGAGCCGCACGTGGAGGACGATCTCCGCGCCGCGAAGCTCGCACTCTTGAAAGTACGCCTGAAGCGCGGCCGGGTGGCGGTGAAAAGAGTCGGACAGCCTGGCGTGCTTCTCGTGACGAGCCACGCTCTTGTTCGACTTCCACTGACCCCGCTTCTGCACCTCTAAAAGGGAGCGCGAGCCTCGCGCTCTGTCCACGCTCGGCCCGCTGCGCCGCGTCTGGTAAGGCACGAGGTCGGGCGCTCCGATCTGCCGCGCCGCCTGGCGGAAGGTGCGCAGGCACCCCCCGTAGTCGAAGTCCCACAGCGGCCCCCCTCCCGCCACAGCTCGCAGACGCTCCCACAGCGGGTTCAGCTCCTTCGCCCAATCGCTGTCCAGCAGGATCGACACATCTGACTCTCCAGTCTTGCTGCGCCCCAGCCGCTCCTGCGGGTGCACGAGCACCGCCCAATGCCGGGTCACGATACGCGCTGGTGGGATGAGGTCGCTGCCCTGCACCGTCGGCAACGCGCCTGGCCTGAGGTAGGTCGAGACGGCCATGATCGCGAACACGGTCATCCGAGGGCGGCTGAGATGGCACATGGCGTTCGCGAGCCCGTGCCACACGCCCAGCCCCTCCGGCCTGCGGGGGCGCCCTGGGCACAGCTTCTGCCAGCCCTGCAGCGCCCTCCAGGCGCGGGGCAGCTTCAGAGAGCCCCTGCGT